AGCTTACCACCGTCAGGTCAGTGTTCATGCTCACTTTTCTTATAAATTAATTCACTCAGCTATTTTTGGTGTGGTTTGGTTTCTATTTCTTTATGAGTCATTGAATTTAGCATGGCCACAGGTGCACAATTTTTGAAGTTAACAATATATTTTATTTAAAAGAGCATTTCCTTGCGACATTTAACTGTTTACTTCCATATAAACTGATTAGCCATTAATGAGCAAACTGTTGCAAATGGAATGATGAAAACTGATCAGAACAACTGGTTAGGAGTTTTACATACCAAGTTCTTGGAGTTTATGTCAAAATTTGCTTATCCTTGATGTTTCAATTTCATTCTTTTTCTCCCTCCTGCTCCTTGTGTCTCTCGAGATCTCAAGTTGCAGGAGCCTCAAGTGCTAGGCTGTCTTATAGTTAATTTTAGTCACCATCGTGATGTCATTATATCGAAATTTTCTGCCTATACCTCCCATGTTTTCTTGCACTTCAAGAATGATTATTCTTATGATAGTATACTCAACCGTGGGCCCTTTTTTCCTTGGTTTCATCGAAATGTTTTCACAACTATTTTTTAAGATGAGGTATAGGACTTACTTTCAATTCTAGATTAACTTATCTACGGAATGCATCATCATATTCTTGGCTATGAACATTTTAGGAGCCATTTTCGTTCTACAACCTTCATTCCATTTGTGGCAGCTCCCGCTGAACAAGATGTATGAGTCCACCAAAAGCATTGGTATTCTAGGATCTAATAGTTGGCTAGCATGGGAGTGTTGCACCGAGAAGTACCTTGTTGATTCCGTTTGATCTATTCTGTGTCCATGCACATCTTTGACCTATTTTTACTGATTCAGGGTTCGGACTTGGATTATTCTGCCGACCACATAGTGAAACCATCTTTGATACTGATATCTAGAATCTAACCTCTAATAATATGTATTGATTTTAAACTGTTCATATAAAGGCATGGAATGTTATGGTTGATGCAGAGTGTTTTGTGATATTTTCAGTGATTTATTTTTAATTCGTCACAGGTTGAAGCCAGCATCAAGGAACACTTGAAGAAACATGAGTTGACTGAACCTCTTGTGACCAAAGAGTTGGTGTGGTATATGGTACGAAGAAGCTCATGCGTTTTCAGCAGATTTTAATTTTTTTTATAATTTTATAAATAAACTAATATCACAATGTATGGCCGCAGGCTTCTGCTACTTTGGCCTTGGCCATCTTCTGTGTGTACAGACTTGTAGCATGTATCCTTTGGTAAAGTTGGATTCTTTAGCATCCAAATTCCTGTCAACTGCTACCTTCACTTTACATCTTGGGTACGTTTTTGGTTCATCAGATATTAATTTTTGTTTGCAGGTCGAAAATGAGAAAGTCAACACAAAATGGCCAGACAAAGAATGCACATCGCAGGCCCAAGCGAAGGCATGCTGACAAGTAGACTGCAGGAAACCATCCAAGTAGCCACTTATGCCCAAGGGTAACTTCTTTTCACATGAATCTTTTATATTCCTCCTTGTATGCATATAACCTTAGTTCGTAAAGATAGTAGTCAATAGAAATGATTGTTCATTCTATGAAGTCATGCTTCAGCATTTGAACTTGTTCTGAATAAATCATGGTTGTTTGATATGCAGATGTTATTGGTGCATTAGAAGTTGGCTGTGTACTTTTTATCAAATCATGCTCGGGATACCTAGATAAAGGAATTGCAATGTGGAAATATTTGAACAGGCTCATGCACACAGTGTCTTTTTATTGCAAATGTTTGAGGTTGTTCATCTCGTTTTGCAGAACCTGATGTTTTAATGACCTGCATTTTCTCTTTTTTTTTTCTTTTAATGATTGATTGGTATTGATTCTTCTTTCTCGATCAATATAATCACAAGCCATGAGCATCTGCTTTGTTTTATAGCATACTTAAGATCCTTTTCTATTCTTATCGTGCTTCTTGGTATTCCAAAGTTCATTATTCGTTGTTTTTTTTAGCTAAATAGAGAATTTGCTGTGCCTCTTTTAGACTTAGTAAAAGAGAATGTAAATGATGTCAATGTCAATCGAAAAGTTCAATAGCTGTAGTATGTCTTGGATTTTTTATTTAGCCACTACCATTTTCAGTATGATATGGCAACAAGAAGAAAGCCAGTGATAATGAGGACTGGTTCTTAAAAAATAATAATAATAATAATTAAATTAAATATATCAAAAAATTTATTTATATGTGTCGTATAATTTTGGATTATTTTAGTACATGTTCATATCATCCTAAATAATATTCTTCTCATTTTTATCTACTATGGAAACTATTCAGCAATATGATTAATAATGTGGGTTTTGTTGTGATAGAAATGTCATCAATTTTTTTTGTGGAAAAATTAGAGGTGTGACATGTCATCCATGTTTTACTTTTTACATTTTTGCATTATAGATATCGTATGCCAACAATTAATGACCACTCTCAAATGACAGTATCACTTATTAATTAGCTGGTCACTATAACGTGATAGATGTGGTGCGATACATGCATGGTCAAATTATAGATGTAACATACTGTAAATTATTTAAGCCACCGTAATCACAAAGGTCTTGGTTCATAATCATCATAGCTGTGATATGTCATTAATGTTTGTTTTACTTTCGCATTACAGATAATGATATGCCAACAATTAGGTAAGCACAATCAATTAGTGTGACGGTACGTGCTATGCTCACTGCCCACACAAACTTATCACCCAACAATTTGAATGTGATGTTTGTGTTACGATATGTCTTCGAAAAATTTTAGCCACAGGTATTGGAGGGTCCTGAATCAAAATAAAATATCGGTGTGACATTTCATGAATATGTACTTAATTTTACTCTCACATTAGGAGATATTGAGATGTCAACAACTTACTAGCACCGTCGATCACTTGTTTGATACTGACATAAGCGTTAGGCTAACCTGTCACACTTAATTAGCAAGAAACTTGGATCATGTCAAAAGGCCCCACTGTTCACGTGGAAGATGGTGCTTTAACTATTTATTGGCTCCGTGTTGCATCATCGAGCGGTGGGCCGTGAGAGTGCCATCGGAGTGCTCAAGAGTAGACGGAAACCTCGGCAAGTTGTGCACGCTTCTCCGACCGAGCCTTATCTTCTCCCCCGTTTCTCCATTTCTTTCTCGCCTCATAACCAAAAGCAAAAACAAAAAAAAACGTGTCATGTCGCTCTAAAATGATCTTATCTATATTTTTCCTTTTTTTTTTAATTTCAGACCAAGAGACATCATCATCGTTTGTGGTGTGGTTCGATTCGACGTTTTATTTTTATTTTTATTTATTTTATTTTATAATAAAATAAAATAAATGATGAAAATAAATTTCGAGTTCATAATCTAATGATGATGTTCTATCAAAATCTTCACAGGGGCGGGACCCACCCACGATCTTTTAATATGTGACCCACCTAGATTACGACTATATCAATATTTTAGATGTGATGGACTTCAAATTAGATTACGACTATATCAATGTCGACGATGGCATAAGTCCATTGAATGTAGTAGTAGACTGATTTATCAGAAAAAGCCTTTCATTTTGATGTTTTCACTAATATTTTTAATTAACAAACGAAAACATTGTAACTCTTTTCAAGAGTATTGTGATAGGACCTTAATTAGTTTAAATTTATATAATTCTTAATTACTAATTTTATAAAATAATTTCTACAAGAATTTGATGGAAATTATTAATTCATTACTGTTTTTCCACTTAGTCCAAACTTATGTCCATATATCCTAAAGAAGTTTACAATTTTTATATTCATTTATTGCGGATAAGAAAAAATTTAGTTACCATATTTTTAGTTACTAAAATAAAATATTATTATTGATTCGATAAACCCATACATGTTCATTTTGTTGTACCCTAAGACATTTCGAGCATTTAAAGAGGGTAATGATTCTTGCATAAATTATAGAAATAAAAGGGGAAAAAAAAGCCAAATCTAAGGCTTCTCAAATCACCCTTAATATAATAATTATTATACTATTAATATACGTAATGTTTGTGGATTTCCAATAGGAGATTAAATCCTCTTTTTGCCGGCAATTCCGATGCCTCCTCCACTACAACACAAAGGCCAAGCGACCGCTCTCTCTCTCTCTCTCTTTCTATATATATATATATATATATATATATACACGCTCAACCTCACCCTCGCGATGCTGAAAGCGGAGACCCCTCTCGTCTGCCCACAAATCTCGCCAAGGTCTGCTTCCTGATCGGAGCGTCGATCGGCGGCTTCCACCTGCTTCAGGAGATGGTATCTCTTTTCCTTTCTCAATCTCCTCCTCATCCGCTTCTGCTTCCGTCTTCCTTTGCTCGAACCAATACGATCCCTAAGTAAGCTTTTCCCCCTTTCGATCGTCGGAGATTCTTGGTTTAGAAGTTTACGGATAACTATTGTTCTATTCGGCATTCTTTTGGTGATATTTTGAGCGCGTGCGTGGCCGATCGATGCGATGGAATCGAAGGAAAGGCGAATGTGGAGGACATTGACGTCTGTGGATAATCATCATGACACGTATCCCTCCCCCCATTTGCTCCGAACCACTTTCCCCACCGCCGTTGGGTTGTTCTCCGTCACTTTGGTTACCCTCGTCGGAACGTGCGCGGGAATCCCTCGCCGCGACGTCCGACGCCAGCCTCGGTGCCGACTCTGCTCCCGGTTTAGATCCCAGTGGTGGAGGCGTACACCTTCGGTTCGTGACCTAACTCGTCTGCTTCTGCAGCGTCGGGAGAGAATCGTCTGCCGTCGACGATTCCTTGGGGGGATAACGACGAGACATGTGACTTCTGCTGCTTGCACGCAGTTCTCATGTGATCGACGGAAAGCAGCCTTTACTTAATGCTCACGACATACGTATCTCCGTCGCTGCTCGCCAAAAGTTGCCATAGTATAGTACGTTCGTGTTTGTCCGTTTCGTTCCACATACATATTTTATTGGGAGGAGACGCGTGGGTTCGTGCAGGTCACCCGTTCGTCTCCTCCTCCCGCGGGATCGCCATTAATGGCGTAATTCTGATTAAGACTGCTCTCTTTCTGTGCCCGCTAATCACGAAACGGGTATGTTAGGGATTTTTGGTCCAATTCTTCTTAGAGGTCCCCTTTTCTGCCCTCTAATCACCTGACGGGTAAGTATGGAGTACTAAAAGTTGGGTAAAAGAAGGATTTTTTCCGTTTTTGTTGATGCGGTGAAACTGGTGGTGCAGATCCAGGACGAGGCGGCAGCGGGGCCACGGGCGACGACGGCGGTGCTGACGCCGCCGCTGTCGCTGGATGGAGGACTGGCTGCGGAGCACCGCCCCCCCAACCTTCTTCGACGGGTGTTGAGTTTCTTCGGGAGCGTACGGCCAGGATCCGATCTCACTCAATTCCAGGCGAGTGCTCTCTGCGCAATCTCGATATTAATTGTAGCTTTGACCTCATTTGATGTTCATGATGCGACAATATCAGAAGCAATTGAAGATTGCATGGTTCAAATTGTCCCAGAATTAAATAACGATGAAGTGTCGAATCAAGAATTGGATAGGTCGTCAGATGATCGCCGGTGCTTGGAGTAATAACGAAAGCATTAATTAGACGTATATCCAGTCCAACACATCTTAGCTTTATTAGTAGTTTGTTGGCGAAGAGGCATGTTAGGTGTGCATGCATTGCGCAAGATTATCTTTGCAACATTTCTGAACCTTATCCTAGTCGTTAGGAGTCATTTGTCTAGTATAGTTTTTGGGTTAGATGACTGAATTTGCACTTTATTTCATGTTCCTCTCAATGGTCAGGAAATTGCTGGGTGGCCTTTGGTCAAGGAAAGGGAAATAGTTGGCTGCACTTGATAGTGACGGTGGTAGTGGGTTTTACCTTAATGTTTAAATGTGGGGAAAACCCGAGAATGAAATGGCTGTTGTGGATATTTATGTACGAGGTGAAACTTGATTGAACTGTGTAAGCATCATTTCCATACTGTGCGGCCCATAGGAGATGAAATACCTATTCTTGTATTTGTCAGAAGTCAACGAGGTGATAATTTTCACATCAAGAGGGTCACATGTTTGGACATAGATATTAGTCATAGGTTGTATTCTTCATGTTATACTAATCTCAAATGATAAAGAGAGAATTAGGTTCCTTATCAAGATTCTTTGTATCGGTGCACTAGGTGACAGCAAGAGGGCAGAAAATAAATGATATCCTCTCTGCATCTGTAAGTTATTTCAGACATGATCGTTTTACTAGGAGTGTTCTTCTACTCTTGTTTAATTTAAATAAGTGATTTGAATAATACTGGACCATATAGGTCAACACAGGATTGCAATTAGTTTTGTATTATTTTTTGTGTAACAACTGGACAATAGAGGTCCATGCTGCTGGTTCGACCAACAACTGAAGTTGGTATGAGATTTCAATAGCTTTGGTTTCAGTAGCTTCACTGTTTCTATAAAAACTTGATAGGATTGCCTAAGAGCAAGTTCAGAATACCATTATCATATGCTTCATGATATTGATCGATAACATGTTTTACCAATGACTCATTCATATACTCTTAACTGAAATACTTGATTGTTTTCATCCGTGAGATCATCAATTAGCTAACTGTTGCACTTATCTTACCTCTCAAAATGTTTATTCTTAGTAAAACCAAAACTATTGGTCTTTTAAGTATTTCAATATTAAAATTGGAAACTGTGCTTTGTTCTGGACATTCAGTTACCTTCTCTCTTCAACATGCCAAAATCACAACTTCAATGCTATGGGGAAGCAGTTTACTGTTTCGGTGAGGACTACTTAAACAAATGTGCCAAAGGAAAGAGCAGCCTTGAAAGGTTTGCTTCGGTAGTGGCATGGAGCATATCAACTACAAGACCCGCATTATTTGGACAGGCTCCTTTCAATCCCATTCTAGGAGAAACTCATCATGTCTCCAGGGGATCCCTCAACGTGCTCCTCGAGCAGGTGATGACTTGACATTGCAAACGTTATTCTCCTCCTTTGTTCAAGACCTCATTTTTGTTTCTATGGATGGTTAGTAACCTGTGTGCACTTTAAATTGAGAAATCATTTTTTAAAGTCTTGTTAGCAGATTAAATCTACTGTGTTAACTTAGTGATAATTAGATAAAACAACTATGGGCAAAATCCATCACCTGAAGTGGCAAACATGTTTGAAATCATAGTTTCAGTGTCTTCAACTCGAACTTCAGAAAACAAACTTTAGTCTTTAATGCTTCCAAATTATTATTCTGTCCTTAGCCTTGTAAGAACACAACAACTGCGAAGCTCCTGTAAGACGTCAGACAAATATTTCTTTCTTAACCTTTATGGTATCTATGTTTTGTTAGGTCTCGCATCACCCCCCAGTGTCTGCCCTCCATGCAACTGATGCAAAGGATAATGTAGAACTGATATGGTGCCACAAACCAGTTCCCAGGTTCCATGGTATATCTCAGAAACTTCCCGTCGCTAGATTTATTATCTTCGCCATACACAGAGTATAATATATTACTTCTATTTGATTCAATCCAACCTAATATATTTGACATCACACCTGTAATCCTGGTGTGTTTAAGTCCACTTCATCACAATCTGTGATGCCAGAACTTAAGGTGAATCCAGTGTTATGTTTGACTTAATTTTCATCAATGCTACCATCAACTCATATCATGCTCTGGTATCTTTGAATCTGGAAGGTGCAAGTGTTGAAGCTGTAATCAAAGGAAAGAGGCACCTGAGGCTCTTGAAGTTTGGTGAGAACTACGAGATGGATTCACCAAACTTGTTGATAAAATTACTTCCAACAACTGGTGCTGATTGGGTTGGGGATGTAAGCATCAGGTGTAAAGATTCTGGTCTTGAGGCAGATCTCTGCTATTACAAGAGCCATGCATTCCTTGGATTTGGTGGCAGCTCTAAGTCTATCAGGGGAAAGATATTTCACTCAAAGACACTAAAGACTATCTACGAGATCGACGGCCAGTGGGACAGGTATGTTGGTCATTTGGTTCATTCCTAGATCCAATCAGCACTTTGTTTCAACTTCAAAAGTTTGTGTACAATGAAGCATGGTGGATCATTTATTCTGCAGAATTGTCAAACTGAAGGATGTCCACAGCGGGGAGGTCACAATCTTGTATGATGCCAAGAAAGCCATCTCAGGACTTAAGACTCCTATTCTGCAGGCTCCACAGGTACCCCATCAGCTCGCTCTATTTTCAAGTCTTAAATTCTAGTCTGGTCTGGGTATTATTATTCTTGAGGGCCTAAAAGAAACATGGATCAGACTATAATGCCAACAACTAAAGTAATTATTCAGGCACCAAAATCTTGAACTAAATCTTACCCATAGTTGTAAAAAGATATATTCTGAGCTAAAGAAAAAAAGAAAACCATAGTAAAGTAATTGTGCAGGTATCAAAATCGGTGCCAAACATTTTCAATTCTGAAAACGATGGAAGAACCCCTATCGAAATCCTTATTTCAAGGTGTTCTTACAAAGTAAAAGGAGTTTGAGATATTGTAACAAGGAGTCATACCTGCCATCTATATCACTAATTGTAACTAGGAGAAGAAAAATAACAATACCATCCAGCATAATACAATGGGCCCACAAACCAAGCAAGCAGTATCATGAAAACTATGCAACATCTAGTTATCTCTTAGGATGTATGTAGAACTTGTTTGTGTAGATTTGCTTGTGTAAACTTGACAGCATTCATCAGAAGATTTGAGGAATGCACTTCCTATTGGAAAGAGAGAGAGAGAGAGAGAGAGAGAGAGAGAGAGAGAGAGAGTTTGGTTGACGTCTATATACTTTTTGACTTGATGTTTCTAATCCTCCGGTAAATGTAAATTCTTTTTTCATTACTCCTTGCAGAGTAACATTTGCGTGTAAAAATCATACAAACAAATAGTATTCGAAACATGCCAACATTTGGGGTCTTGTGTGTTTTTGGACAGAACTTGTGGCCTACCGAATCAGCTACGGTGTGGAGCGAAGTAAGCCAAGCCATTTTGAACAAGGAATGGGGAAAAGCTTCAGCGGCAAAGCAGATCATAGAGGAGAAGCAGAGGAAGCTGCAACGAGAACGGAAATCTAGTGGGGAACTTTGGGTCCCCAAGCATTTCACGGTCACCCATACCAAGGAAAATGAGTGGGATTGCTCGCCCTTGGAGCAGTCGGTCCCACCTGCTCCAATTATCGTTCATCCCTGACAAATAAAAAAGAAAAAAAAGAAAATAAACAGGTATTTAAGTCTTCTTCCTTTGTATTCGTTAAAATAAACGGATATTTTATTTATTGATTTATGATGCTCTAATATTCTGATTGTCTTTAATTGGTGGAACACTTATGGATTTCTTTTTACGAATATATGGATGCTTAACAAAGTACAAGTTGCAAGTTAGAAGCATGTAGCAATCACTAGTTGTAGCCTATGCTGGACGACGATATCTATCTTCTATGCCTCTTAAAACTTTTCAGCTTTGTTAATTCCATCATCAACATGGAAGATTTTTTCTACTTGCAAAAACAGATGAACCAAAACCTTAGCATTGTTAGTCCTATTGTGTCGGTCAACCCCTCTGTGAGCCTCCTTCCCACAATATCTGGCTACTTACGGTTATCAATAAGTTTCAATGAGATGGATAATTGTGTCCCTATCCATCATCAAATTCAACATGAATTTTTAACTCTTCCACATCCAACTGTGTCAAATCATGATGCAAATTGTGAGTGAATCAAAATCTTTGCTCACTGCATTAGAGAGTTACTTGTACCATGCAATTTTATGGGATAAAATAATAACAATAATGAACTACTATACTAATGTCAAGTTGTATGTTTTGATAATGACTGTTAAATTTCCGATTGGTCCTGCTCTTTGGTAAGTAGCAGAAACTTCAAAATACCATAAGATTTATATTGCTTCATCTTCATCACACTGACAGATGATGTTTAGCTTTTTATTATATAATCTACAAAGAATAATATCAAGCGCCAAGATGAAGACATTGTATCTCCTAGCTATCAAAGCCCATGGCCACCACTGGGATCCTCACCCTGTGGCCCCTATCGCCTTTCATGAGAATCTCACCGAAGCTGTATCCGCCGGTCACTGACCTGACCGTGAGAGACACAGTTATCTCACGAGATGCTCCGGACAGCACCGTCATCGCCGGAGGACTGGCTTCGAGTGCGATCTCAGGTGACATTCTAGTAGTGATGACGTATGTTTCGGTATCGGCTACATTGGTCACTGTTCTCTTCACTGTTTGAGTTCCTTCCAGATGGGAGATGGTGATGGATGGGATGTTTAGATCGGCTGGTAGGCCTGTGGTGCTGTTGCAAGCCGAGCTAGTGATGTTACGTACCTCATTAGGATCCACATCTGGTACTGAACACAAGAACCTGATGTAGTCTTCATAAGCTGCAAAAATGAATAATTCAACATTAAGAACACCATGGATGCCTAAAAATGAAAAGTCTTGAATCATACAATCAAAAGAAATAAAACTTGTGTGGCAAAAACAGGTCATATTCTGTTAAAGAATTTAAGACCGACTTGACGGTCTAGTATTTATTTCGAGGGTCTTTTCATATAAAAGCCCAACTAAAAATATCATTGCCATATGAAACAAGTAGTTCATAGTAAATGTAAAACTATATGCCATGGAAAACCCTAAATCTGAACAATTAATTGTAGAAATATAATAATTTCTAATCACCAAGATGTAAGTAATAATAACCTAGAAGATTGGCATTTCCTACTCAACAAAGAGACTTACTTGTATCTAGGATGAGTCCTGGATCCAGAGCAGCTTTTGGATTGACAGCACCACTACCATAATCAAATGGTGTAGCCTGCACCAGTGTCATGATTTCTGTTTCAGAATATTGCTGTGCTAAAATAGGCCGGCCACCTCGATCCAAAGTAGTTGCTGTTGTCATTAGAGCCGACTTGATAGCACCGGGGCTCCAATGTGGATTCTTTTGCTTTATGAGGGCTGCAATCCCAGCGATGTGTGGAGCAGCCATACTGGTTCCGGAAACCATAGCAAAGCCTTCGCCTGCATATATTGTATTAGTCTTTGCAATTCTACAAAATATCCTTTAACTCGTATTTATTTTGAACTTCAATTACCATATTCTGGGCCTCTAATTGCATTTTCTTTTGTGACAGCAAAGGAACATGATAAAACTCAAGCACATTTACCTATGTAGTTAGCCTCATCTGTTCCATTTGGCGCCCAAGCAGCCCAAATAAGATTGCCTGGAGCTAGTATATCTGGCTTAAGTACATCAGCATCCTGAAAGCTGAAATCTTTTACGTCTGGTCCTCGGGAGGAGAATAATGCCACCTGAGGAGCTGATTTATGCAGTATGGGTGCCAAACCATCAGCTATGCTGGCTGTCGCATCGAAACTTATTGGTCGACCCGCCCAGTCTCTTGTGGTCGAACAGTTGTAGTAGTCAATAAGTTCCTGAGATTGATAATATAAGATTAACATCAAACCAAATTCAGAAAATCGTTGTAAAATACTGGTTCTGGCAAATTCAATAAATGGTAGGAACATGCATTGCTTACTCATTTGCATCATTGACATGTGTAATATCACTTCATAGAATTGAAGGTTACGAAAGCCGTCGGTGAATAGATTTTTGGTTATACAAAAATCTACAGGATCAAAAGCAATTAAAGTAATCATATTTTGGTTAATATGTAAACCTCCCTTGACAAGGTGGTTTGGTTTAAAGCTAAGTCAGTAACTTGCCAGATGTATTAGCAAGCAAAAATTATAAAAAGGTCAAACTGCATCCTTAACAGCAAGACACATAATCATCGGTGATAATAAAACAATTTATCCAATTAATATATTTAGCAATGACAATAGAGCTTATACATGTCTACATATAAAAAGGACTATGTATTCAATCAATGTTTGTACATGTAAGCTCCCGATAGATTGGAGCCCAAAATGGGCATCATTTGATTTGGTACAAGACCATTGAAAGAGGAAGCAAAGCTTACGATTCTACCAAGAATATAAGGTCAAAAGCTCAAAAATGATAGATGCATAAAGGTCATGGGCACTTTCCCAAAGCACTGATTGGATTTTCATTTCAGTTTATAACACATTAAAAATAGCCATGCTTCAAACAAGATAGTTGTGTTAGAAAAGTCGTTTGCAAAGTCCATCAATCTGACCGTGTCCATCTAAATTAAATCCAGATGAGATATTTCCATCCCAAAAAGTTAATGTACTCACCTGGAAAAAATACAAAGAGAACTTTGACCCATACTTCTTAGATGTGGCTTTTGGCTATTTAGCTTTATCTAGAAATATATGCTCCACCAACTTAAGGGAAGCTATTGCACCACAGATTCATGAAATTAATTTTCAACCATGATAAAATTTAATTCTAAAGATTCTAAAAATTTCTTGGTATTCAAGCTTGAGCTAGGTGTAGAATTCAATTCCTGCAGATTCACAATTTAAAGTATTATATTGGACTTTGATACAAGTTAGTTATGGGAATATCTAGTTTTCATTCATCTGAAATCAACAATGTAAATAAATTCACATTTAAAGTCATCCTGAAACTGAATGTTTCTTCAAGTGCATGGCACATAAGAATCGAATAATGGTTGTATGATATTTGGTACCTTCGTTTTTCTGGCATCCGTGATGAGGATCCCAGGAGTATCAACAGGTACAGGATCAAATTTGGCACCCGGATAGGTGTTCTCGACAGCAACAATGAAGCCTGCTGCACCAAGACTTTTTGCTGTCTCAGACACCTTTTTAATTGATGCAGTTCCCGAAACAAAATTGAAAGAATATCCACATAGAAGAATATTTCCTTCCACCTTGTTCCTGTTCAACAGTTCAGGCCTTTGGCAGTCTAGTGGGTTGTATTTCAACAAAGACAAATCTAGCATGACATCATTAGCGGAAACCAGATTGAATGACTTATTCCCATGCGTTGAAGCTGCAGGTGGAGAATGAAAATGACATCAGTGGTAAACTTGAAAAATTCAATATCATGTTGTAACTTACGAACCACATAATGAAAGAACAAAACGACCTAAGTTACAGAACTGAATAAATTTGCAACAATTACATGTCAGATGTTTGATATATCAAACAAAAAAGAAGTATACAACCAAATTATCAAGGAAGCAAAAAAATATATCTGATTCCTTTCTGCTACTCCGCTGCTCATCACCAGAAATGCATGAAAATATTACACAGTGTAATCCGAGTCAACTATAGAGCATAACTAGAGTTTGAGTGCTCAAATGACAGGTCAAAATAATACGTAACTGTTGTTTGATGTTAATTGGAAGAGAAATTTACTAAGATATGTTATAGTTGTGCTCCTTCACAGCCTGGAAGACCAGGGTTCAGGTCGAAGCAACCCCTCTATATTTAAAGGTAAGCATTGGCGGGAGCAGCACAGTTACAGGCATAAGTATATGAAGAGTTTCACTTGTAAGTTTTAATGATTACATAAAATGTTCTTGTCACTTCCTTTGGGTCCACCAAGTACTAGGTTATCAAAGACAACCAACTCACACAAAAGAAAATTTGTTCATTGTGTCCATAATAGAACATGACTGATCCTTTCTAAAATTTCTTCTTGTCGTAATGTGTATAACTCTAATTATGATTGTCTTGCAAATTTGTAAAAACACCATGAAGCAAGATACTGAGGCTTTAGGCTGTAAATGATTCCTCATACAAGATGCAGGAGAATATATCAACAGCTTAAACTTACGTGACAATCCAAGCCCAGGTAAAATTTTTCCGTTTCCCAGGGTCAAATTATTTTTGTATCTACGGTCATCAATAGCAGCAGCTACAGTAGTGATCCATGGACTGAAAGACACCAAGGTTTTAGGGAATGGACCCCCATTTCCGGCAGCCTGAGCAACAAACACTCCAGCTCTCACAGCAGAAAGAAGTGCAGCATCAAAAGGATTCAAAAATGTGGCTTTGGTTGTTGTCGGTGGACTGTTTGGCCCCACCGAAAGATTAAGAATATCAACGCCATCAAGAACAGCCTGTTTGAAAACACTCACCAGGTTAAGTACATAAAAGGGTATTTCAGAGATTCAAGAATGGAACTCCACGAAGTTGAAAAAGATTATATAACTTGAAGATAAATTACATTAAGTGATCTAATCTATTAAAGTTCCTGTGGCTTATCAACTGGCTCTGACTTCAGCAATGAGAACCTGATGCTTTTCACGTTCCTCAACTAAGATGCTCCACTAATAAGAACATCCATAAGGTACATGCCATCTGTGTTTATGATGCCTACATGTTCTCAAGGACAATTTTGTGCAGTGGCATAAGGACTATACAGAAAATGAATAAATATAAAGTGGACAAACAAAAAATGAGAGCAATTAGCAACCATGAATTTGATGTCCAGGTATTAGCAAACAGCTCAGGCCTTCCAAAATTATCTATCGCCAATCCTATAGGTGGTCAATAATGACCCAAATTATCATGTTCCCAACAAAAGCAGAGTAGAACTCTGACCATCACCAATCGCATTCATTCTGACATAACTGCTCAAATTAATCAGTTTTTCTTGCATACCTGCTCGATAGCAGCAACAACATCAGATACATATCCCCCAAAGAGCCTATAGAGAACCTTGTACACAGCAATCCTGAGGACAGATAACCACACATGATATCCTAAAACTGAAATTTGCGGTAAACAGTTTACACCATGAGTCAAAACACTTTACCTGGCACGTGGTGCCATGCCACTTGCCTTTCCAAACTCATATCCATGCATTTTGACACGGATTCCATTGTTTCCAGCAGCAATAGCTGCTGTATGGCTAGCCGCAACATAAAAGGCATCAGAATTTACCATGATACAGAAATAAAAGCATACAGAAGCATGGAGGACCAAGAAAGATCAAAAGACAACAGATTTTAAGATTGCATAAACTAAAATATTAACAGGATACTCTCTTGTGAGAACAAATATCATTTCATGGATATTGCTAGTGCAGTCATTATAAATAGTTATTTTCACTGACAAACAAGTAAATGTCGAAGAGAAATTGTGATTTGCAGAACTAACCTACAAGACTTATAAGGATCTTCATTTCATAATTCACAACATCAGACCAAGCAGGCAGGACATGTTTACATTTAATTTTCAGTCAGCAAAATTTAGTAATTTAGGTTAACTAAATGTCCTCTCTTTCATGGCCTACAGATGAGCAAGTACAAATAAGACACATCCAGTATCTTGAAGAGGTAAGCTGATCCATTGATTTGGCATGATATGTTCTAGATATTATGTCATTTCTCAAAAATTCCCAGGATTCGCCAAGGAATTGGTACTCGGGCACAAAATAATCCATTAAGGTACACACCTTCCATGACCATCACCATCCAAAGGTGATGGAAAATCAATTGCTGGATTAAATGCACCAGCCGCAATTGCTGCTTTTGCAAAATGCTGTGCTCCAATAATCTTCCCATTGCAAAAATCCCTCTGAGTCTCTGGATCAACTTCACACTTTCCTCTGTAACGAGGAAGAGGCCCATATGGCTCAGTATTGTGTGTCGAAAAGCTAGGATGCTTTGGATAAATTCCCGAGTCCACAAAACCAATTACAATGTCTTCTCCTGCTCTGTCAAAACCACCACGTGTTGGCCAGACACCTGTTGGTAAACCCAGAAATTGAGGGGTGTGTGTGGTGAATTTCTTTATTTTCATGTCTTTCTCCACATATTTGACCCCAGGTGCCTTGCTGAGAGCTTCAGCCTGGTGAAGTAATTGATCACATAAATATAACAGGTGATGGAGAACAAATTGAACACTAATTCAACAGTTCTGCATGTGACAGATTCCAATCAATCTACTGATGTGTCTTACCTGTTCAGGAGAGATGTGAACTGCAAAACCATTAACAAGATGTCGATAGCTGTAGAGCTTCTTATAGGTCCCAACTTCAAAGAGTGAATCAAGAAGAGCATCATGCTTTTTCTCCAGGTGAAAGGCATAAGATGTAACAGACTCACTGCTAGGAAGAAGATAGCATAAGAGACCTTAACAACTTTGTAAGGACTATGCAGTCTTTAGCATATGAAAAGGCACCACAATCCTAATAACAACGATTTCACATGGTCTTAATTTTGAAACTGACATTTGTTTCCCCTTTTCCCTCTCTATTATGACGATGATATTTCACAGTCACCACTTCCCAATACAAAAATGCTACATCAGTTAATTATTTATGTAGCTCCATAGGTGTCGATAAACTACATAGGAAACCTGGCATTATATAAAGAAAACATATGATTTGATAAATTACCATAGTACACATTTCAAACATATGGAAATGGAGCCAAACGAAGAATTTGTTCTTGATTCAAGTGACTGTTGAAGACGAAATGCTAAGTATTGTACACCCTACAAAAAACACCCCTTTAACGGAAATTTCTAGACAACCAAAGTAAAATATGAGAAGCAAGTCAGTAAAGCATGCAAAAAGCATGACCTGATACTGCAAGATGATATCTAGTTCAAAAAGTAGAACTAGCATTTGCCTTTCTCGACCAAGATGGACCGAGCTTCAAACACCATCATTATAATGGAAACAAATGCTTTACTATCTTAGAATGTTATAACCAAAATAATATTCAGTAATTCCAAGTGAAGATCAATGCTAAAATAAGGGAACAAAAAGATGGCCCAGTGCATGAAGTTCCTGCTTGTGCAAGGTCTGACGATGATCAATGTGCAACCTTACCTCTGCAAGTGGAGGGGTTATTTCTATGACTACACAATAACAGAAAGAAACGGTTCCATCTAAATCATCTTTACCAACACAAACAATCACTACTAATTTTGAATTTTCGCCAGAAGCAACATATAAGTCAAAAGGATGGAAGCTAATACCCACCTGGTGATGTCCATCTCTTCCACTAAATCTATAGCTGTTGCAGAGAATCCATCAACTCCACCACTGTAACTCACGACAGGCTCTCCTTCCACGGTCACGATATATACCTCCCCACTTCCCAAAGCTAGCAGTGGTAGTGAAAAGAAAAGCATGCTCACAAGTTCTATCCCTTTCATCTTTGCTAATTTGTCGACTGACTGGCGCTATACAATAACCTGCAAGTTTGAAGCACATGGAAGAGGGAAAAGTCATCAGTAGTTAAGGAAATTTTGTCTTCCCGGAAGAAAGGGGGAAAATTATTACTGATTTGAAATTTTAAAATGATTGAAAGAAATATAGCATGTCTCACATTAAAGTGTAGAAGCCATCCTTAAAGCAATACAGTTATTCATGTCACTTCCATATGAACCCCCTTCCATCATGGCAATTAGAAGTATTCAATAAGACATAGCATTAAGAGTCCAGGAAACGATTTGAAGAATCTACTATTCCAAAAGCTATGAAAGAATCCAAACAGAGAAGGCCCAGCATCAAGGACCAAATAGATTCTTCAAATTGATACTATGATAGCTGTCAAGAACATATTTATTTTGATTATAAATCATGATCATAGAACTATTAAATCTTACCACACTAAGAAAGGCTAGAACAACCATGAACTGAACCATTCTGCCATTGCACTGGCGTGGGTCGAAGCCAATCAAAAGACTGTATACCGCACTTCATGCAAAGACCAAAAAGCGACGATTATTCTTTTATTTTTTGTTTCAAAAGATGCCTAGTGATGGAGAAAGCAGCATTAGAAATCAACGAACACTCCACTTGATAGCTTAGTAGTCACGAACAAAAGGCAAACTCTGATGATCCGCACTTGAAAGAAGTGACGACAATAGGGAAGAGCGGGAGACAAAGTGCCTCCTGCTCTTCTGTGCAAACCAAGCATCGATTCAGGGCTCCAGAACTCACCAGATGCCCACCGCTCCACCAGGAAGCTTGGATCGGAGCAGCTCCTCCACAACGCAGTGATCAAGAACCAACAGGACCTGCCGCAGACCGCTGAGGTGAGAGGGATCGAGCGTGTGAAAGGGGAATAGGGTTCTACATGTATCGAAGGGTCGAAAGAGCTGAGTATGACGGAGGTCGGAGCTCTTTTAATGGCGGAGGGGGCGGGGGGAGGGTCTCGGGAACTGTTATTCACCGTTTTGCCACTGTGGGTGCGAGAGAGACATTAGTATATTACACAACAAGACAAAGCCTGAAGGAAAAGGGCAGTATAAATGCCGTGTGACATTTCATGACGCGTGGCGGAGCGTACGCTCGAGTGAGCGAGTGCCGTCGACAACGGGTCCCATGTACAATAAGCGAGGTGGGAGTGTCTGATTGGGGGAACGGACAAGGAAAAGTTGCGGAAGCAGGGCAAGATGCTTGCCACCCTGATCATAAATTTCGTTCCAACTTGACTCCCGGTCCCCCAAACCTCACCTGCTTTGTGATTCGCTTCTTGGGTTAACCAATTTTGGGCTCCACTATTTTCAACAATTAAAATGCGGTAAACAAGCAGCGCTAACGTACAATCGGTATGAAAACTACTCTCTTTTTTCGAGTTGTCTGTACGCCCCTGTCGGTTGCTAGCAGTTATTTGCTGGTGATGGAGCGATGATGATGGAGAGTTCAAAATTACAACGGACGACACTCGGTCTGTGGTTTGGTGGATGCATTTATAGTTCTGCCATTCAATAAAAATAAACTGGGTAATTATCCAAATAAAAACCCAAGATATTATATATTTCTTATGGATATTATAAACTGGGTAAGTATTACTATTTTTTTTTCCCCTCAAAGTCTCATGTCTTGATCTCCCTCAAGGGAAAAAGAAAAAGAAAAAGAAAAAGCTTTCAGTTATACTAAAACTATCTTTTGTTATTATGCAAAATGGCATTCTTTTTCCCGACATATAATAATATTTTTAACTCGGAGCATCCTGGCTTAAATAGGAAAGTAAACAAGAAGCCATACCCGGGAGAATCATGTCACATGAAGCTCTGAGCCAGGCAACGGGTAGAAATTTAATGTGAAGTAATTCAACCAGGACTTGTTCCTGTGGGACGTAGGGTTGGCGATGGTGGCGGTGAGCAGGTTTTGGCCAAGCAAGTGGTGGTGGAGTGAGTCAATGAATGGGGGTGATGATATGTACGAAGCACAGGGGAGCGTGGCTTTCTTTGCAGCGCATGTGACGGAGCGGACCCACGGAGGTTTGTCTCCTTTATCCCATTCTGCGAGCACTACACGTGTTTGCTCGTGGCATTATTGCACCATCACTAGTGTAGAGGCCACTGTGCTCGACATACTCAAAAAGATGATTGCAAAGAGTTGCTAGTCATCCATCAGCGCAGGAATCTTGAACTCGGTCATGTACCTGAACAGGGCAACATGAAGAAATGTTTATATCGGGCATTGCAGCAGACTTATGGGAAAAATCTTTCTTATGTTGATGTCCAAATCTAGGGTAAATCTATTTTAAAAAGAAGAAACAAGCTGTTCTTCTTATGTCACTAGGGTTTGCAGTTCTACTAAAAAAACACTTCAATATCACATGCACTTGTTATCCTTTCATTCTGCATGGCATTTGTCTCCCTCCATTGAGATCTAATGTGCCAAGACACCAAGTAGGAGCTCATACAAGGGAAGACTCGTATATTGTACTCACTTTCTCCGTCAAATAAACTAACCAGTATGCTTGCAGATACCAAGTTTGATTTGTATGCTTACAGCTGCAAGGGAAGACTCATGTATTCGATTTGTATCAGATAAATTTGTATCAATGCCACAAATGGAAGGCAAATGCATTGACATATATATCTTAGTCGAAAAGCCTAGTACATCTTATACCTCGCTCTCTGCAGAGAACCAAAAAAAAAAAGACAAATTAGGATGCCAACTTATTTTCCAGATCCGGCCAAATTTAAAAGTCTTGGCATATGAGGTTAATCAATGCGCACTTCTACTACCCTCTCTGAAAATATGACATATCCGTCACTGAACAAAAGATTTAAGCAAGTTGAAATGACATTCTTGAGAAGGAACCATGGGGGAGTTCCTTCCTACTTAACACCCTTACAATCCATTCATATTGGTCTAACAAACACTTTTTGTAGCGCCTTCATGAATGACACTTCTGTTTCAATAAAAGCATTGTCAGACATTAATCCTTCATAATTTTTACAACATAATCATTCTCATCTTAAAGCCCCAAATTTTGAAGTGCCTTTGATGTTTCCTATCAAATTGTTACAGAGTAAGATCTGCAGGTCATACAAGATGAATCTGGCATATCACTTATAAGGACTAATGAAACTGAGAAAACAACAAACACAAATCTAGACCAAATCTAGACAAACTCGATTCATCATCACTATGCAAACCTTCATTATAAAGGATAAATATCAGTGACTAAGCTCTGCTAAGTGAATATTATAAATTAATAAGCTGCAATCGTAATAATATAATGTTGCTCATTGCAAAACAGCTACTTAGATGCTATAATTATTTGACGAAAAAAGGTTCTTCATTTTCTCCTTCCATTTGATAAGCATGGACCTACTTCTATATTGGACAATTTTTTCTCCATGCTCTCTATGACTCCCACAGTCCCTAGTTTTCTACTAGTAAAACTAAGACAATGCTTGCATGTATTGTTCGTAGAAAGGCACAGGTCCAGGAATGCAGCGTCAGCATGTGAACCAATTGAACAATGCCTATGATTACAGTGTTTATCTACTTTCTGAATGAAGTGAAATTTTATCTGCCAGAAAGCACAAGGCCAAATGGCACACCCTAGTCCTTGTTACTATGCTTGCGTAATATATCATGATCATATTCTCTCAACACTAGTCTACTGCAGGTCAATTCAATAGCCTAATCATAATACTTATAGTTGATGGGCAAACTCAACAGACCTGAAGGAAATCTCTGAAGCTGCAGCTGCTGGGAGGAATCCTCATCTGTTCTTGTACAAACAGCTAATCAGGAAACCTGCAGTCAGCTCTGTGGCCAAACACTGCACATATGAACACAATAGAAACAAATATGTTTTTTTCTCTAAAATTAGATCATTACCAGCATACAAGATGCTCACACGTAGACTCAGACATGAGACCTATTAATTATGCAACAATGCATTAACCATCTCGAGTGTCTTAACAGAGACAATAGAAACAAATATGTTGATAAAAAGCAAATGAGAAAGAAAGGTTACAGCACATCAATCAAAATTTCTAGTAGCCACTGTGCGTATAGGCTCCATACAGTTACACGAGGCACTCTGTATCTCTGTTCACACTTCATGCTTGACTCTATAAATACCGATCGGTATAAGTTGAAAGTCTGTCATTTATGCCAGAGTTGTAATCTGATTCATATTTTTTAAAATATCTGACAGAAGATTCGGCATGTACTTTGTTTTCTCCGATAGCTATATTATTGGGAATATAATCTGGACTGGGTAATACTTCTGCAGGAACATCCATCTGTAGGATGGAGGGAGTCCTGTGACCCTGCAGATTATGAATTTCACAGGATATATTTTCAGTGCCAACATCTCTATCAAAACCTGTGAAGTTCATATTATTTCTGTGAGGATCATCTTTCTGCAATGACAAGGATAAGTTCTTGCAGCTTGTACTAGAATGGCAAAAAACACCTTCTTCAGTACTTTTTGTTACATTTTCTTTTGACAGAAGTGTGACACCATTCTTCTGCAGCTTCCTTCATTTGTATATATAACCATCCATTTTATGCACAAAACTCATGCACATATCACTACTTAATAATTAATATATTGGAGCAGATAGACAATTCTAGGATGCTGGAACCAATTAATTTGCTTTCTTTGTCTACAATATCTGTACAGGTTCTGGGGCTTGCTGAAAGGCATACTTCACATGTCAGAAATTTCTTCCCAGATTCAGTAAAATGTGACCAAAGATACAAGTCCATGTTTGTTGCTTCTCTTGTAAAGTAAAAGCAATGACAATGTGCTAACGAGATTGTGACGAGGACTCTGGATCAACATTTCACCTATTCTCATGATAACTACATACTGGGTGCATTAGACTTTTTATGCTGCATTTTTTTTTTGTCATATGCAAGACAATGGTAACCCCAAGCACCGTCCAGAAGCAAGAAGTATTCTGAAACATTTGATCAGCAGAAGGACAAATTTATAGCACCATAGAGATTTTGGATGTTTCTAGATAATTTAAGCAAGATGTCAGTGTAACTTGATAGCAATAAACCAACCACCAATAATCATCAACACACGCACATATACAAGATTTGTTTTGCCAATCCATACCAATGTACCGATGGACTGGCAGTATTGCATAGTAGCTGCTCTGTACCAACGTCCCATGTGTTGATATGATGAGGCATACTAACGGCACGAAAAAATGACCAAAAATATCTCCAAATATTTCTGAAAAATAAAAATTTTGAAAATAAATATAATTTTAGTATAATTTTAGCAAAATTAATCTAAATTAGGAAAAAATAGTAGCACATATCTTTTTTGAACTTTAAAGAGTAGATTTGTGGTATGTTCCAGACCGTTTAAAAAGATTGAGAGAGTAGATGAGTTAGAGAGAGTGAAAGGAGAGAAAATGAGGTAGAAAGAGTTTAAAAACCCTTAGATCTGGTTCAAACAATCAAATGGACCGTTTTAATTCAACAAATTCCAGCCATCAATTGGTATCAGTCAAAATCTGACTGTTACCGATCGATACAGGTCAGTAATGGTCAGATTTTGACCATTCTGATCGGTACAAACCTCATCTCATGCGACACAGGGTCCCCTATTATTGACTGTCCGGTATAGGGCAGTTCGCGTGCCAATCCCCTGTCGGACTGGTACGTACCACCTAGTACAGGTCGGCACGACAAACATTGTGTGTGTGTGTGTGTGTGTATATATGAATCAAATTATCATGTTATCAACCTTGTAAAGGACTTTAGATTGTCAAACATTTATGCTAAACAATTAAGATCACTATAATTGTTAACTGAAAACAGAAGCTAAATTAGGATTTTTGGTTAATATTTTATTTCCTTTCTTACTTCCCTTGAAAACTTCCAGTCAATTTTCAGCATCATTTTGTAGCTTAACATTGGCATCCCACTTT